TGGTAATAAACTTGGAAATTCTCTAGCTAATCAATACCCTCCTAGCCGAACAGAGCTTGAAGAACAACTTTCTTGTGCGAAAAAAGATTGTGAAGTTGCTATATATTGAGGGAGTCAGTTTGCAGATAAATACGATGTCTTAGATAGAGAAAATAAGTATATGCAGAATTCTTTAAATCAATCAAAAAAAGAAAATAAGTGCATACAGGATAACCTTAATAAATCTAAAAAAGAAAATGAGAAACTTTCCAATCAGGTGCACCAACTTGGAGAAGAGATAGCATGATTACGATCAGAAATAAATGATTCTAAGCTCGGAGATGAGATAAGACAATTGCATTTAGAAATAAATAATTTTAAACTTCAGATTACTTGCAAGGATATTTCTCTTGCAGATGCCTAAAGCAAATTCTCTATAAAATCGGAAGAGATGCAAGCCATCCAATCCAAGATGAAGGAAAAGATACAGGCTCTCCAATCTAGGGCAGGGGAATTAGAGCGGGATGTTTCTTTAGCTCAAGAGGAGTTATCAGAAATAAAATCTCTTAAGCGTAAATTAGAAGTGAAAAACGCAGAACTATCTACTGAAAATATTTATCTAGATCTGGAGAAAAAAGATTTAAAAAATATACTAGTAAAAAAAAAGAATGAATTGGCGCAGATGAAAGATAATTTAGTCACAACTCAAAGAGCATTGATAGAAAAAGACACGCTCCTTCAAGAAGTAGTCCTAAATAAAGCTCATTTAGCCGAACAGATCCCAAAAACATCTAGCAAGTCTGAAGTGGTTGGAGAGGTCTTAGAGGGACCAGGTGTTAGTGAACAGGAGAAAGGTAATGATAATGCTAGCTCTGAAACCACCTGGGTCTCTATAGAGACCGCTTTTCAGTAGCACCTATCAGTAATAAGAAATTTGATACTTACTTTTTTCAGTTTGCGATCTTTCTTATAATACTATTACTAATCATATACTTCCTGCGGTCTATATTCACTCATCTATATTCTTTTATATCACCTCTTAATGAAGAAAATTTTTTTCAAAAATATATAACTCCCTTTAATAAAAATCAGAGATACGAAATTCCAACCCACTATGTGGAAGAATTCGAAGACAGAAATACCTTCTATGAAACTTTGTCTTTTGGATATGGATGAAGTCACAAAACATAAATCATCCCAAAATATTGGCTATCCGGCGATGATATGGCCTTTTAGCATGTTAATTACTAGAAGAAGTGGTACAGGTAAGACTAATTTACTTGTGAATCTTGTTCTTGGTAATAAGGATGAATATGTGCAAAGAGGGAAAAAGGGTGGGTCTTGCTACATTAAATATGATGATCTAATTATTTGCAGATATCATCCTGATGAGCCAAAATAGGCATATATGAAATATATATATAATCTAATTTCAAAAGACCCAAGAGCACCTTACTATGAGGATATTAGTTTCAGTTATATTCCTCCCGAAAAAATTCCTAGTACAAGAACTTTCTCATCTGAAAGAAGCAAGTTAATTATTATTGAAGATCTATGTTTAGCTCCAGAGCATATACAAAATCGAATTGGTTATGTCACTGAAATATTTCATGTATATATATAACACAAAAATATCATAAAGTCGATATATTCATTCGTGAAAACTTAACTCATTTAATATTATTTAACTCTGGTAGCAGTATTCAAGACATATCTAAGATTGTTGGACGATATACTGATGATGTAAAGGGCGCATCCATGGTTATTAATAGCTACCTCTGCAAAGGTGAGTTTGTTGTATTTGATCTTACTAGGTCAGAGGATGATCCTCTAGCAATTCGGCTAAGATTTGACACACTGTTGAACCTGCAGAAAGAAATAGAGGCAAGGCCGAAGCGGAAGGAAAAAAATGCCTCAGCTAATAAATAGAATTAGTCAAATTGTAGACCTCCTATTTTCTCATAAATTTGAAAATAGAAAAAAAAAGTAATCAGAAAATTTTTTAGATAAAATTTCACAAAACTCCCCACTCCAAAAAAATTTATTTTTGAGGAGGGATGATTTGTTTGTTCACAAACTTCCAAAGCACTTAATTATATTATTAACCATAGATGAGAAAATCATAAGTAAATATACACTTCATAGATTTTTATTTCATATCGATGGTGGACAACTATAAAAAAATAAATTATTATAATAAATACGTAATATCTATTTTGATATCGAATCCATGCTTCAGAAAATTTGGCACACATACTTATAATTATTGTTCGAATCTGAGAAATCTATGTTAATTTCTTCTTCTAGGATATAAAGATATTTAGTTTCAAAATAGTTAATTTTTAGTAAATCACATGGATATGATTTGTCTACTATTTTACATATGTATCGCTCATATTCTGAAATTCTAACAAAGTTTTCATTGCCATTGTTGGGGTATTTGACAATATGGTAATATTTGGGATTCGATAGCCACTTTAACATATAAGTCCATTCTGAATATTTAATGATTCTATAGCCTTGCCGATATAATTCTATAAAAGCAACTATATATGATACAAGATATAATTGATTATTTAGCTATTTTTTTTTTCTTTCTATCCAGTTATCAGGAAGATAATATTCTTTATACACTCTTGGTAATGGATAATTATATCCTTTATTTATCATAGCAATAATTTTAGCACTACGTAAATTATGTTATTGACGAGTATAAAGATTTTTTATTTTTCGAAGAATGATATCTAAAAATTTCTTATCGTCAGGAATACCATCATTCCTCACCATATTCCAAATTCGTTTCGCCCATGTTTCAGGTCTCAACTTGTAATCTCTCCAAGCCCGTTGGATAATTTTTGTACTATTAAATAAGGAATAAGCAATTTTCTTTCTAAATCCATTGTCTGTATTATATACATGATAACCATGCTGTGGATATACAAAATAATTCATAAAAATCTCATTAAACTCATCAGAACTAAGTGATGATATACTTCTTTCTCCTTTTTTCTGAACAGGATTAGAATATGTGAAATGCCTTTTAGCTGTTTTAGCAATGCATTTATTCAGGTGATGATTGGCACATTCGATAGTATTTTTATGGATAAATACCAAGGTGTCGCATACAGTGCAATAAATATAAAATGAATACTTCTTAACTATAAATCCCCCATCTCTAGATCTTTCAGTCAAATAGATAAATCCATTCTTGGAGAAGTATTTTGGGTTATTTTCTAAAAGTGTTCTAAATAGATAATGAATACGTGAACACTACATTTCAGGCGTTTCATTACTATATCTATATTGCAGATTGATTAATGCCTGTGATACGGCAGGATTTAAACCATTATAGTAGTTAGTTTTAACCATTTTGCAGGTATAGTAATAATACGTATACATAGCAATTTCACTGATTTTATCGATTTATAGCAATTTCAATGACTTATAACGGTTTGTAACAAGTATATAATAATAAAATATCAGATTCATTTTTATTCGAAACTGGAAGATACGTTGTGTATGCATATTTACAAAGAAGAGAAGGAAGCATATACTTCGTAGATTTTTTTTTCATATTGACACTTTTCAACCTGTGTCAGAATTAAATAAAAAAATATTAATATAAAAAATATATCACTCTGATTTAGCATTAGGAAAACAGTAGACAACTACCTATGCCTGTATCAAAAATTAATTTTATTTACCTTTATATATATTTTTTTTTCTGGTGGATACATTCAATTACTCTCTGCAGTGTGGTTCAGTTGTTTAGGAAGTCTGCATTACCTTCCTCCTCACACACGCCCCACATCAAGGATGACGATCATGCCCAGGGCAAAAGAAAAAAAAGGTATATCTATTTATTTAGATTTTGAGGTAGATACATTCAAACTATTTCTTATCTTGTAGTTCGGTAGACTAACTACGGGAAGCTCGTTCGGTCTTCCTCTCCTTACAACAGGACAATAATAGTTGGCGATCGCACTCTCAAAAAGTGTTTTATAATATGAATATAAAGAAAAATAAATTTTAGAGAGGTAATAGTCGGATCCTAGGCCTGCCCCGAAAGGCTATAACTACACCTGAGAAAACTATATTATTAAAGATGACTAGATTGTGTATTTTTTGCAGAACAAACAACTACCTTCACCAAAGTACTGAGCTACCAAATAGTAATTATGAGTATGTTAAACCTCACAACACACATAGTCAGAGACCCTATTGCTTTAGTAGTAGAAAACAAAATTTTTTGCATGACTAAATATATCCGCACAAATAGTTTTAGCAATCATCTTATTAACACAAAAACAACCTAGTGTGAGAAGGTGGAATATCAGTAAAAAAAAAATCAAAAATTTTATTAATAAAAAGATTTATATAAGAGGGTACTATTGCCTTATATACAATAATTAATCCAGGCTGTCCATATCGATATTGTTATATAGTTTGCTTATATTTGATTTTGTTTTGTTTTTAAAAGGCGGATTACCTGATAAGTCATCATGATAAATATTTACGTATATATATTTTAGGCGGTATAGTAATGTGGTGAAAAATGTATATGTTAGATATTCAGTTAACGCGTGTTTATATAAACTCGTGGTTTATTTTAACACAACCATGTACATGCATTAAATGAGATTATGCAAAGAAAAAGCCAATAGTACTTTAACAGTGGCTTAGCAATTTTACATAGATTTATTAAGAAAAAGCCAACAGTATTTCCCAGGCAATACAACCACGTAACAGTAATTTAATTTCATGATTGTTAAACCATATCAAAAAACTCGCTAGAAAAAAAAGTATTTATTATGTCATAGTATTATATGACATAACAGTCCTGCAGGTCCACACAAATTCTTATCGCATAAATTTTGTATCACCGACAGCCTCCAGAGGCTGTCAGAGTATAGTTAACTAATAGTTAACTAATATTTTTATAATAATGATAATAGCGATCACTTGATATTTAGGTTTATCAGTTCTAATATACAATAAAAACTTGTCTGGCTTTAATAATCAATGGCCGGCATTAAATTTTATACGGTGTTATTTTAATTTCTTATAGTTGATTTTTGATTTATACGTAATGAATGTTATGAAGTCTTTTCTTATTAGATATAACTCCTGATAAGAAAAAGCATAAATGGGGACTTAAAAGAGTTATAAGAGGAATGTGTATAACATTCTTTATCAGTAGTTTTATCAAAATTCATATGTTGCAGAAACTTGAAATTTTCCAGATTATCAAGATCGTTGGGTTTTTCACTTCGCAGGAGTGATCATTGAATCTAATGGAGTTTAATTTTACTAAAAAAATAGCAAAATAGATTTAGCACTTAGAACTTATAACCGAAATAGAATTCTTTGTTAAGTGTGATCTGGCATTGTGTTAGAGTAATGTAATTACTAAGCTTGTATTTTTTTTTCTGGCAGGTTCTCTAGATCTAACAAATGTGAGTATAAAATAAGTGATTTTTTTTGTTTCTTGTAGGTGGGTTATAATAATATTTTTGTTTGTATATAATTATTTTTTAACCTGACTATATTTTTTAAAGTAATGTGCTATTTTATTTAACTGTAACTATAAAAACATTTTTTCTTACTATAATTTTTTGTATTTAGGAATGAAAAATAAGCAGTAATAAAAAAACTACCACTTCCAAGACCAATGATAGTAGCACCCCCAAGATCAACAATAGTAGCACCCCCAAGAACAATGATAATAACACCACTACCATGAGTAATAACACTACCACTTCTACGACTAATAACAATAACCCCTCCAAGACCTATTATGTCCCCCCAATACTGCCCAATCCAAGACCTAGCCAAAGGACTCCTAATTCATGCAATAATAGGAGAAACAGATGTAGTAAGTAAAATTCCACCTTTTTAGATATACTTGAAGCATATGAATACTTATAAAGTAGAATTTCATTTAAATCAGATAATTCAAACTATGGTATCTTACTAGACGATGAAGAATATATTGAGAGAGGTGATCACTAGATACCAATTTTGGAAGCATCTTTAAGAAGACATATAGAAAATGATGATTGGGGTGATATGAATCCTTATGATGCTCAAGAAGTGTTAGATCAAATATAAACCCCACCAACCTGACCTGTTAAGGGTGCCTCTTTCAGGCATATATTTTTTTTTATTATATAATAAAAATATATATTTGTATATTGTTGTTCTGGCAAAAAAAATATTAAATAAAGAAGTGGAGGTTCACATCTTTACCAAATTTTATTTTTATATGATTGTGTAAATTGGTTAAGATTTTATTGGGCTAAAATAAAACTTTTACTTATTATAGTCTATGTGATGCTCACTCTATGCTTTCACATTTACTATAGAGATTCCACTAAATGTTTTATTACAACAATAGAGATAATATGTTTTTTCGCCACAATAATTACCAGAACTCTATTCACCCTTTATATTTTTCCATATACTTTCTTTATAATCTTCATTGCATAAAGGACATATTCCTGAATAATCATAATAATTGCTATTTTTAATACTATGTTTAAGTAATAAATTATTGAATTGCTCCAATGTGGTATAAATAATAAGATTTCGTTTTTCTTCTGGATCTTCAAGTAAAATAGAAATTGGAAGATGAGAATTGAGAGATGCATTTTTGTTTATAGGTAATATGTGTATCTCTGTTTTCTTTTTGTTATCTTTGATTTGTGAGAATCTAGAAGTTTCAGAGTTTATCCAAGGATCGAGTCTAGTTTTATTTTTATATCTTTTATATAACCCAGAACGAATTTTATCTATCAAAATACTTGGCAATTCTGTTAATTTAGCCTCCCACTTCAAATATTCGGAGGTTAATGTTTTATTGGCTTTTGCTTGTGTATTTATATTATCATTTTATATGATTTTTATCTTTTTAAATTAACAATAGCCAACAAAAATAAATATGCCTCAGAGAGATATACTAAAAGGCCTAAGCGAAATTGTTTTAGTATAAAATCAAGTTTATGCTATTATCTTAATTTCAATTTTACATTGTTCATATTTAAGATTATAAGATCCAATTTCATATCTGCCTTCTATACTATTTTCATTATCATAATCTAACTTACATAGCAGACATAAAGATTTATCACTAATTCCATAATAATTATCATTTTCATCACTACCTTCTCGATATAAATTAGGATATTGATCCAATGTTTTGCTACAAAAATAGAATCAATCATAAGTTGGCTTAGATTAAAGTGTTTTCAGAGAAATATATGTATTAGTCAGATGAATTTTTGAAGTCATATGACTTTGATTATGAAGAATCTTCATGGTTTCATTGTGTGAACTTGTTACTGAATTCACATAATCTATTATATCTTGGATTTGTTGGTA